TATTGATATATACCTGCTTTTAGTTTTGGTATAGATATCATGGTGGCCTCGACGGCCCAATCAGGACTTCTGTGCTAGTTGGCTATTTATTTATTTGATCTCTTGGGAGTAGTTGTTTCTTTTATAGATCAGTTGACAGGGGCCTTGCCGGCCGATGGCTTAGTTTTAAGCCGAGATATACTTGTTTGTTTTCTTGATTGCATGTGGTTGTCATGCGCTAGTACCAAATGGTTCAGCAAGGTTGGTTCGGGCCTGAGTTTTGGCATTAGGAGTCAGTTGCCCCCCTCGAGTTTGGGGCATGACAAACTTGGTATCAGAGTAACGTCGTATCCTAGGGAGTCTGCAAGCCATGTCTAGTAGAGTCTTGTTTATAAATGTGTTGTGCACCACATCTGATAAGCAAGAAGCTACCGGGAATGTTAGAATGACTATCCTTCTTTTGCTCACCTCGTGCTATAGAGCGGTGTCTTAAGAGTTGAGGTTTCTGGCTTATAATTGATATTTGTATGCAGATAGAGATGACTGACACTAGACAGACCACAACTAGCCGGGGGCTAGATACAACTGCAAGCGAGGGTACCGACAAGGTACCACAGATGGAGGTAGCCCATTGTGAGACCCAGGGGGAGACATCTTCTCAGCCCCCTATAGCTTTTCCAACGCTTCAGGAGCCTCCGAGGGCTAGATGACTTCCGGCTCCACCAGCAGTACCACCTCTAGTTCCTCATATTCCATCTGATCAGGATTTCAAGAGTGCAGTATGCATGTATATTAGCACAGTTAGTAGCTGCACAGTGCCAACCAGTTGCGCGAGATGTTGCCGGACCTTCTGAAGGGCCCGGAAGTTCGAGAGTTTGTGAATTTCTTTCCTTGAATCCTCCACAGTTTACAGTGACAAATCGCAGAGAAGACCCTCAACACTTTATTGATCAGCTTCATAAGATCTTTAGAGTCATGCATGCCTCTGACTGAGTTAGTTGAGTTAGCAGCATTTCAATTGCGCGTTGTTGCAGTATTGTGGTACGAGAGTTGGGAGAGATCTAGGGGAAAAGATGCATCCCTACCCACTTGGGATAGCTTTACAGAAGCTTTCATAGATCACTATTTGCCTTAAGAGATTAGGGATGGACGGGTGGACCAGTTTCTGAACTTCCGACAGGGCAGCATGAGTGTCCAAGAGTATGGGCTGAAATTTGATTTATTGGCTAGATATGCACTAGCATTTGTTGATACGATGCATGATAGGGTGTGTAAATTTGTGGGAGGGCTCGACTCAGACTATAGCGATGTTTGTTCTACCGCTGCACTAAATAATAATATGGATATCTCGCGAATTCAGGCATTTGCACAAGGCATAGAGGATCGCCGACATTTACAGTATATGAGTGAGAGGGTCGAGAGAGAGAGACTGAAGAGGGCTAGGCCCACTAGTTCGCAGGGAGATTTTCAGGGTGGTCCCAGACCCGATATTCTAATAGGCTACCTAGACCTCCACCACAACAGTTCCAGGGTAATAGATTTGATAGTCAGGAACAGTCAGGCCCAGGTGAGGGTTCACGAGCATCAGGCTCGCAGCAACAGAGGGGTTCAGGCCAGGCTAGGACAGCCCCGCCGCATTGCGCTACTTGCCATATGATGCATTTCGGGAGGTGCAGACAGGGTTCCACAGGTTGTTATTCTTGTGGACAGGAGGGGCATGGGTGGAGAAACTGCCCTACCATAGGTCAAAGTGGTATAGGTCAGTCGACTAGGTCAGCGGTAGGTTCCTCCTCATCAGCAGAGTCTATAGGGCGTGGACCCAGACTT